GAAAACTCTGGTCTTTTTATGCACTAGCACTGAGTGGCACATGGTAGGCACTCAATAGCAAGTTTAATAGTTACATAAAAGTTTATTACAGACTATAAAGACATAAAATATTGCTATCAGCTTTATATGTTCTGTCTGAAGGGTGTTTGCAGAAATCTCCATTTTTTTATCTTGAAGATCAGGAAAAGAGCTAAGTAAGTTTGAGTCTTAATATACTAAATTTTAACCCCTTCCCCGGCAGAAACGTGTATACTCGTTTCCACAAAATGTTCTTTTTCAGTCGTCGACGAGTGTACTAAGAAAATATGGTAAAAAAATATGGTTTATAGGAAGACGAGTTACAAACTGTTTTCATAACCAGCATCAAAAATACTATATAGAACCAAAATAAAAAAATTAGTCTGAAAAAGAAACGTTTTTAATAAAAAAATTGTTGGGGAAGGGGTTAAATGAGTTGCTTTCCATGTTGTAAGAACATGAATAAGTAATCATAAGTTGTTTGCTACTCTTTCTCCTATTTGTGGAGTCAGAGTGCCTTGACTTGACTTGTTTCTCCTACGGGGCCCCAAATCAGATAGTAAATATGATCCCTTCTTGGCTCATACAATCCTCAGCATCCAGAATGTGTTCAGGGCTTGTCAGCTTTATATGTTTATTAGTTAATAATTATAACCCAAGTTATTTATGTGCTTATCTTCCACTTCTACCTTCTACTTAATTTGTATAGACTGCAGGAAAGAGAGAGACTCTTCCTCCCCCCTCTTCACACACACACACTCTTGGGATGTTTGACCACTTGGGAATGGCAGACATGTGAGGGATGAGTTACTTTGCAACCTCACTGAAAATGTAAACTAAATTCACTGAAATTCTAAGTGTTGCATAATTTAGACTGGTAAAATGTTTTTATTGTATGAGATGGATGTGTAGTCCTACAAACCATGTATAAACCAAATGTTACATTAAAAGTTTTTAGAGAAGCCCTAGCTGGTTTGGCTTAGTGCAAGGGTAGGCAAACTTTTTGACTCGAGGGCCACAATGGGTGCTTAAACTGGACCAGAGGGCCGGAACAAAAGCATGGATGGAGTGTTTGTGTGAACTAATATAAATTCAAAGTAAACATCATTACATAAAAGGGTACGGTCTTTTTTTTTTAGTTTTATTCATTTCAAATGGGCCGGATCCGGCCCGCGGGCTGTAGTTTGCCCATGGCTGCTCTTAACCATTGTGCCACATACAAGGTCCTCATGACAAGTCCTTAAGAAAGACCACTCTCTTCACATTTTTCCTTTCTATTTTCCTCCATCTACCCAAAAATAAAATAAAATACACAGTTCATATTTGAGTGGTCAATTCAAATGACCCCTTTGTGGACCTCGCATCTTGGATTTTCACTTTCTTGCAC